CGGGCGGCTCCCCCTGCCGGGCGGAGGCCACGCAGCGCTGCGGGCGGCCACACGTGCGGGGGTACGGATGGATACATGTACCGGTGTGGCATTGTACAGACAGACTCACAGACACGTGTGCCAGTCTGCGCATACGTGCCGGTGTGGGTGCACGGACAGACACACATATGGATAGAGACATGGACGTGCATAGGTGTGGACCTGCACACACATGCACACATACAGGTACGCACACATGCACACACCTACCTGCACAGGCATGCATGCACAGGCAGACCCACATGTGCACACACACACCCATGCACACACGTGTGTGCACACCTGTGCATACATACTCTTGCACTTCCATGTGTACACAGCACACACGTGGCACATACAGGCACACACATATACACATAGAGGCAGGAATACATGCACATGCACACATATGTACATCCACTTGTGTACACACGTATACCCACACATGCACATCTATACATGCATAGACATACATACAAGCACACACATATACTTCCTATGCACATACCTAATCATATGCATGCGCACACACACGCATGCACATAGGCACAGGCATATATATATACACACACCTACATGTATAGGCGCAGGCAGACGTGTGCATACACACAAATGCTCACACATACACACACAGGCACACCGGCAGCATGTGGATGCGGTGGGCTCCTGGGGACCCTGGCACCCTGGGGACCTGATTGGGCAGGTGGGGGCCAAGTGGATGCTGTGGCCGTCCCAGCACCCATCAGGTGAGAGGCAGGAGCCCATGGGTGCCACATGCCACCCTGGGGCGCACGTGGCCCTGACCCATGTAACCTGTCTTCACACAGGCAGGCAGGGGCAGGAAGCTGCTGGATGCGGGCAGGGGGGCAGCGGGTTTATTGCCTCCACAGAGCATCCAGAGCAGCTGAGCTGCGGCATTGCCCCAGGGGGGCTCGGGGCACAGTCCTTCCCCAGCCCAGCGGGGCATGTGGCTACCGAGGAGTCCTGTCCCAGCAGTGAGTGCATGGCGCACCCTGGTCTCCGGTGGTCCCAGTGCAGGGTGGGCTTTCCTGGGGTTGCTGGTGGCTGTCAGCACTCGTACTGTGGTGGGGCACAGCGCCCGGCCCTGTGGGGCAGAGAAGCCATGAGAGCTGTGCCAGGGTCCCTGGAGGGGGGGCATCCCCGGGCTGGGGGCACCCAGGGTGGGGCGCAAAGCTGGGCTCTGATGGGGCTCGGCCACTGGGGGGTGCCTAGGCTGAGGGCACTGGGACTGGGGGACAGTGGGACTGGGGGGCACCAGGATTGGGGGGCACAGGACTGTCCCTGGGCTGAGGGCAGCGGGGAGTGGCATAGGCGTGGGGGGTCCCAGGGTGGAGAACTCCCAAAGCTGAGGAGGTTGGTGGGGTTGGGGTACTTGTGGGGCCCCACGGCTGGGGACATTGGGGTACATGGCAGGGTCCTAGAGCTGGAGACACTGTGGGGATGAAGATACATGTGGGGTCCCAGGGATGCAGGCTAGGCTGGGCAGGGGGTGATGCGGTGGACAGGCAGGGGTCCCTGCTCACCTGCAGGCCCTGGTGACGCACTCGAGGCTGTGCCGGCAGTGAGCACCCAGGGGTCTGCTGCCCACCATCCTCCAGAAGGGCGTCATGCGGGGCAGCCGGGGGACCGCG